CCATCAGGAACTCTAGCCAGTGTGCGCCGTAGGCGCGAACGCTAGCCCGGCCCCGTCAGACATGAGGATCTTGATGGTCGGGCTCCATGGCCGCGTCACGAACGTGAGGTCCTGCGTCTTCATGACCTCACACGCGGCCTCGGCAGACGAAGCCACCACCACGGGCATCTCGCCGAGCTTCAGGTACACCAGCGGCGCGTCTCCCAGCCGGCGCGCGATGTCCGCGAAGGCGCGGTGGACCAGCGGCTTGCTGGCGAGGTGGTGCAGGCTGCCGATGACCGGCAGCCGCCACGGGCCAGGCGGCAGCTGCTGTCCAGTGCCGTGGCTGCGCTTCCGGATGAGCTTGTGGAGCAGGAGAGGCAGGAGGAGAGCCAAGACCAGATAAATTGCTTGCTCCATTTCCATGGCTGCCTGTTATTTTCTTGAGCTCACTAGAGAGAAGAGTGGGGGATCAACTGCACTATATGTACGCATGCGGCACGGACCAAATTTAAAGTCATCGAGTACGCGAGGATATAGTATAAACTGGCGTCGATTGCTATGCGAGCCAACTATTTGCAGGGCAAGTTTGGTTGTCGCCCGGAACGAACCGCCCGATGCGCCAACGATTCATACTGGTCCTACTAGGAAGTGTCCCTGCACATGCATTTAGCATTTCGCATGTTCGCTAGGGAGCGGGATATTCCCTACACGATCGTGATGGTTGGACGACCGTGTCTTCGGGGCTGTTTGGATGATAGCCCAGCGGCGCCTTACCAAAATTCTGGCGTTGACCACTTGCTTGGGCTGCTATTTGGATCAGGATCCGGTTTGCCTGCTTCCTTCCCATGCTCCCATCCGTGTTCTCACTTTATTCTACGGCTGTCTTTTTTCCTTTTCTTTTTCTAATCTAATCATCTCCCTTCCCTGATTTCAAAGGGTGAGGCCGGGCCTTACTTTGTTCCAATCAAAACAAGTCACGTACGCGGGAGCACGGATGGGCACACGCCGGGGGAGCAGGCAAGTCTCGTCTTTTGGATCAAGGCCAAAAAATCGTTTGTCTGTCAAAATCTCGGTCAGGAGTTCAGTTTTCACGCCCGTGCGCGGGCGAAACGGCGGCGGCGGATTTCATCGCCAAAATATTGGCACGCCGGGGATTGGCAGGGCATGTGCGGGCGTCATCCAAACAGCCCCTTCGTTCATCCACACACTACCTAGTGAAAAACCCAACCGCCGCCCATGTCTGGTGTAGCAGGACACATGCATATCCTAATTACCCACAACCACAGGTCTTTTAGTACTCCCTCCTATCCTTTTTACTCCGCGTATTACATTTGTGTCAAGTCAAACTTTGTAAAATTTGATCAAATATATATTTAAAAAATATCAACAGCTACAATACCAAATATATTCCATAAAACTCTATTTCAAAATAAATCTAACAATACTGATTTAGCATTGAAAATGTTGATACTTTTTTTACAAGTCTTGTGAAAGTAAAGACACTTTGACTTTGGACAAAACTTATATGCAAACTAAAAAGGACTGGAAGGAGTACTACGAACTGGTCATTAATCCCTCTCTGAACTAAAACCCTGGCTCCTGGTAACATAAAGGCACCACGTGGGCCCTCTGTAAGCCGAGTGGCACTCTCAGCTTAATTTTTGTGCATGGAGCAACCACGGGCTTCCAGTGCCCAGGAATAAGCCAACCGTATTTCCTTTCTATGCAGGGGATATATGTAAGCCGAGAACATCAATATGCTCACGGCTTATATGTAAGCATGTACCTTGCTCTCGGCTAAAACCTGTACTGGCAATGCCTTTTTTCCTAAGTGTTCCAAGGAGCTTACACGTGTCTTGTAAAGCCACGGTCTATGCTCGGCTTACATGTGTAAACCGAGTACAATAGTCGGCTTAATTTTCCTTTTGGGAGCAATCACATGCCGCCAGTGCCCAAGAATAAGCCGATCGTGTTTCCTCTGTGCAGGGTGTATATGTAAGCCGAGAACATCTATCTGCTCACGGCTTATATGTAAGGCGTGTGCCTTGCTTTCGGCTTAAACCTATATTGGTAGTGCCATTTTGTCCTAGGAGCTCCCAGGGGCTGACGCGTGTCTTGTAAGCCGAGTTCTATGCTCAGCTTACATGTGTAAACCAAATACAATAATCGTTTTATATTCCAGAATGTTTTTTTTCTTTTTGCGATCCAACACTTACTTCTTACATGTCCTTTTTGTGGCCGACTGTTGACCGGCTTGTTAAAACTAGACAAGGCCATATTATCCTATTTAGAAACTCAGTAACGCTACATACATCGTCCAATCCACATGCTCCGTCGACCGTCCTTGCAATACGTATGTGTACAAATTATTTTGACAAATGTTGTTGTTGTGATGAGGATGAGATGATCCAACACTTATTTCTTGCATGTCCTTCTGGTCGCCTTTTCTTGCGAAGCGGAGTACGTGGCTTTAATTTTCCACCGCCGACCTCTATATCCACATAGCCATGTTTTGGATCCATATGGGGCGTTCGCTTTCGTGTGTAGAGATGGTCTTTGGGTGCGACCAACATTTTTTGGTAAGGGGGTTAAGACCTCATGGCGTATGCTTCTGGGGTGCAAGCTGAACCACCTAACATGGACTTTCTCCAACCAATATAAATGATGTTCTATCAGTAGGCAATGTCAGACCCTCGATAAGAAAATGGTCTTTGGTTAACAGATTACCAAATGTCAATCTTCACGCTATGCCTTACTCGGTTCCAGCATGTAAGGTGTAAATTTTTGAAACACAAACTTTGGCTACTAGTCCATAAAAACAAAGGCTGAGAGTCTATGGTCCCCACCAACTGGAGGGATCACACCACCAAATAAAGTATTGCACTACTCCCTCCGTCCGGGTGTATAAGTCATCTTACGAAAATCAAAATTTCCCAAAACATTTAGGCGTGTAACATTAAATTCCCCTCGTTCCCCTCCCAGCCTCATTAACGAGCGTTATATTTGTTATAGGAAGAGGAGGCACTCGCATGAGAACGGCCAATGCATGCATCGCGGCTGGGCGTTGGTTAGGCAAGATATTGAAGACAGTTTTACATGCTGGGCGTTGATCGCGGCTGGAGTATCATGTACGTGGGCCTGCATGGAGAGCTGAAAAGACATCCTATTAAATGCTGATTTTGCTTCCTTTTGTGCAGCGCTCTGATTGGAAGTTAAGCTGGCCGTGGTGCTCCTCCTCTGCCAATCTACAGCCACCTAGGTCATGGTGCTACTCCTAAGATGACTTATACACCCGGACGGAGGGAGTATAAAATATACCCTTGAAAATACCCAAAGCCCATGTTACACTACCATTTTCCTATAATGCATGAGAGAGAGAGAGTTTGATATTACATAAAAGCCCTTTTTGTTTTTTTTCTATTTCTCTTCTCTCTCCTACTTTTCACGGGTATATTAATCTAAGGCATTCTACTATTCATTTGAATGTCGAGAGTACCTATGTATTGGGTACGGAAAAGGCTTTTCAAAACTGTTTGCAAACTACTGGAATTATTGCAATTGAAAAATTAGATCTCCGAAAGTCCAAATCACTCGGTTTTTAAACTAGAGGCCTGCCAAATTTTATCCTCCTTGGTTTTGCTTGTGACATTTGATACACTCATGCTGCTTGTTGACTTAGCCAAACATGGAAGAAGATCCCAATGCTGAAGAGTCCTTCGAAGACGTCTTGGTGACACTAAGTACACATTCTTAGTCGGCTGTTGGCTTGTGCCCATAGTTCTTGAAGATGGCATTTCCACTTTTTTTTTGAAGATTCTCCAATCAGGTGGTTGAGGGCACGAGAAACCGCCAGTACCCTCAGTAGGGTGGCGAACGTGGACGAAACTACCAGAAGGGAGTTCACACGAGGAGTAGATCTTGGAAATTTTATTTTGAGCTCATAATATCAAACAAAGAAAATCAGATTGATGATGGGAAACCACATACTCCCTCCGTCTCAAAATAAGTGTCTCAAACTTATTATAACTTTGTACTAGAGCTAGTACAAAGTTAAGACACTTATATTGGGATGGAGGGAATATTTGATAATCAATACAAAACATATTATTGGTTTTTTAATAAATCATGAAAACAGTACAATACAAACATTACTATGATTACCACCATGACACCCTGCTAACAAAATGTTCAAGGAATTTGTGTGCAATATGCAGCTGGAATGTTCGATCTAGCCAACTTAGTCGATCACATCCACTATTAGACATCTGAAGCAGGCGCTAATTAAGAGGCACACGGACTTTAGCATGCAGGTATAGGTCATTCTTCCGACCGACCGCGATGCCCATCTCCTCCTCCATGTCCAACTCCCCTCCGGCAGGAAGCTCCCAGTCAAAGTGGTAGAGGAGGGCGGCAAGGGTGAGCTCCATGCTAGACTGCGCGAACAGCATGCCTGGACACATCCTCCGGCCTGCCCCGAACGGTGTGTACTCAAAGTTGTTTCCCTTGAAGTCCACTTTGCCGGACTCGAACCGCTCTGGCCTGAACTCTACCGGGCATCCCAGTGCTTGGGGTCCCGACAGATCGCCCACGTGTTCACAAACACAGTGGTGCCCGTCGGCACGTCGTAGCCGAGGACGTTGCATGCCTCGGTGGGCTCGCGCGGCAACAACAGGGGCACCGACGGATGCAACCTGAGCGTCTCCTTGATGACCAGCCTCATGTACTTGAGGTCAGCCAGGTCGTCCTCGGTTACGCTTGGCTTCCCTTGTAGGTTGTTATGTACTTCGGCTTGTGCTTTTGCCATGGTGGCTGGGTTCCTCATCAACTCCGACATGGCCCAGATGAGAGTCGTCGCCGACGTCTCGCTCCCAGCACTAAACAGGTCCTGCAAATCATGCAAATTAAGAAAATTAAAATTTACTAGTTATAGAATGAAAACAATTAGTCGGGCGATAGCTTACCACTAATAGGCACTTGATGGCTCCCATGGTAAAAGGGACGTCGTGGCCGCCTTCCTTCTATATCCTGAGGAGCACGTCCAATAGGTCCTCCTGCTCCCCTTCCTTCCCGTCGCCGTTGGACGCGGCGGCGGCGGCCTTCACCTCCTGGTGCTGCTTGATTGCGCAGTCGATGAGCTCAAAGCTCTTGGTGTGATTCTCCCACGCCTGTCGGGCGGAGCAGCTAACAAAGCCGACGAGCCAGGAGGAGGGGAAGAGATCGCTGAGGTTAAACCCCGAAAGGATCTTAACCATAGTAGCCGGAAACGGGGAACGGTAGGCCGTCCCTCGATCCCGATTCATCGACCCGAAATCGGATTCGGGAACGAGGTCGGATTCGGTACGATTCGATGAAGATTCGGCGTCCCCGCAGCCTGCTCCTCGATTCAGGTTTCAGGATCCAACAGCCAAAACGTGAGGCATAATTTACTCACGATGTCGTTTCTTTTCTCAAGAACTCCTCATTCTTCCTCAAGTCCATTAATTGCAAGGGATCCATTAACAACAAGAAATGCTGACCGTCAGGGAGTCGTCGTTCTTCAAGAACTGCGTTCCTCGACCCATGATACCGTACCGGGTTCATCGTACCCAAATGGATTGGATCGCGTCCCCACTATAAAAAATTCGTCTAAGAGATGTATACCCTCGTTGTACCCTATTTTTTTCAGCCACCGACTCTCGTCCCTCGTTCCCGTTCCTTGCTCCCACCGTACCGGAAACATGGCAACTATGATCTTAACCCCCTGTTGGAGCACCTCCAGGAACTCCTCCCGCCTGTTGAACCTGTCCCCGATCATGGCGCGTACGGTCATGTCTGCGATGAGCACGGCGAGCCGCTCGCTGACGTTGACAGGCTCGGCGGCACTAGCTGAAATGGCGGCGATGAGGCGCGTCACCTCCTCCTCCCAGATGTTGCGGAACGACTGCACCCGGCGGGCGCTGAGCAGCTCCATGATGCAGATCTTGCGGAGCTGGCGCCAATGAGCGCCATAGGGCGCGAACGCCAAGCCGACCCCATCGGACATGATGATCTTGGTGGTGGGGCTCCACGGCCGCGTCGCGAACGTGACGTCCTGCGTCTTCATGACCTCGCGCGCGGCCTCGGCAGAAGAGGCCACCAGCACCGGCACCTCGCCGAGCTTGAGGTACACTAGCGGCGCATCGCCCAGCCGGCGCGCGATGTCCGCGAAGGCACGGTGGACCAGTGGGTTGCCGGCGAGGTGGTGCAGGCTGCCGATCACCGGCAGCCGCCAGGGGCCAGGCGGCAGCTGCTGCCCAGCGCCGTGGCCGCGCTTCCTGATGAGCTTGAGGAGCAGGAGAGGCAGGAGGAGAGCCAAGACGAGATAAATTGCTTGCTCCATGGTCATGGCGCCTGTTATTTTCTTGAGCTCCCTCGAGAGAAGGCTGGGGATAAACTGCACTAGATATACGCATGCGGCACGGACCAAAGGAATATACTATTATAAACTGGCGTCGATCGCTATGCGAGCGAGACAGCCGCATAATTGCAGGGCAAGTTTGGTTGTCGTCCGGAACGAACCGCCCGTCTCGTCGTCGTCTCCGATGCGCCAAGGATACGTACTACTCGCTAGGGAGCGGAGATTCCCTACACGACTCGCTTGGGAGCGGAGATTCCCTACAAGATCGTGATGGTTTGCACGATCGCGTTTTGTTGTTCATCCACACACTACGTACTGAAAAAACCGAATAATAGGTCTTTTTAGACTACCCATAGTGGAAGTAGGATTGTACCTCCGTCCTGATTTATTAATCCCTTCGTATTTTATATTAAATTTTTATTTTAGATTTAACTAACAAAATGTTAATGCTTGTCACGGAAAGTAGTATTGGTGAAAACTATGTTTAAATACAAATACAACGCTCTAATTTTTTATAACATGCATTAATATTTTATTAGTTAAAACCAATATACCAGGATAGAGGTAGGTGGTAAGGTTTTGGATTTCAAATGGACGAATTTTCTCACGTG